CAGGCTGCTCCTCCTGCTGCAAGCAGGCAGCCTCACCCCTCTCGCTGCGGGGAAATGTCTCTATTTCGGCATTTCCAGCACTGCTTGCGTGGCTGGACGCATGGGCACGGTGTCGGGAGGGCTTTGTGGCGGGGAGCGGGGAGGGGAGTCCTTGGGGTGATGTAAGAGTAAAAGCAGAGGCGAAGGAGAGCGGAGGATGCCGCAGCTCGAGCCCCTTCAGGTTTTGGGCCTGCGATTGCCCAGCAGTGCTTCCCAGGCTCGGGAAGCTGCCTGACTGTGAGCAGGTTAACAAGATTCCAGCACAGCCTAAATTAATAAATTCTGTGTTTTTTAGTTCTTTTTTTTTTTCCCTCCCCATTTTTGGGGCTTTTTTTTTCCAGCCATAAAAACAAATAAACCCGAGTACAAAAGCTGCATTTTTTTACTACAAAAGTAGCTGGTCTCATATAATGACCTGATCCTAAAGACTCGGGCTTTAAAAAAAGAAAAGCAGTCCTAGCACATGAAATACAGGGAATCTGGGCAGCATGGGAGCCACCCGCCTGGGGCTGGGCAGTGCTTCGGCCCCGGAGCGACGTGAAATGATGCGCTCGAAATACCCCAGAAGTCTGTGGCTGAGCATCACCCTTCCCTGGCTGGAGAAAATGACTCCGTCCCTGGTCTGCACTCCAAATAAACTCTTCTACGTACTGCATGAGCCAGCCACACACTTGTTTCTTCCTCTCCTGACAATCTGAGCAGGAAAGTGCACACAGAAAACTTGATAAAGGTATTTTGGACAACTCAGTTAAGACACAGAACATACTTACATCCTCTCTGACCTTTCTGCTTGACTCAGCGAGAAGGATTTAGGCTTTTCTGGCTGGTCTTTTGCCCATGCCATCCTGGGACTGTGTCTTTTCTCTGAACCTCTCCCTGTCTGCCAGCATCTTCCCAGAGATGGGATGCCCGGAACTGAGCTCAGCTGGTTACAGGCACCGACACACAGGACCAGAAAAATCACCTGCACAGCCCCAAACTGCAGCTCTATAAACTGAAGCTCTTCCAGGGCTTATCCCATGCCCTGTACTGATGACAGCTCACGCCAGCAGCAGATCGGAGCCTCAGGCTGTTCCTGGGAATTCACCAAACTCTGGAATTCTTTAGACAGAACAATGTTGCCCCAAACCCCCTCGAGTCTGGCCTCAGAAACAATGGGACTGATTTATAAACCAGGAGCTGAGAACACGGCACCATTGTGCAGTTGTAGGATTTACTTTGAGCCCCGGAAACACACCCGGGGAGGAGATAACGCTTTTACAGGGCTCTTCTCCATGCTTCAGACATTGGAATATTTTTTAAAATACAAACTACTTTGTCCTGAAATCACCTGATGCCAAAAATCTGAGTTTTTAAAGCAAAGCACCAAAACAGCACGAGAAAAAATAACACAAGACAGAAATGCTGACTTAAATACACTCCATGCCCTTAAAATGACATGGATACAGCAACTACCTGCCCTGCAAACTCCCCCAGCGTACTTTCTGCTTACTAAGGACAGAGCCCAAGTCACACCCCAGTGCTTCCATTACAAACCAGTACCCGGAACCAAACACAGCATAGGTAGAGAATATAAACTTGCTGCACCCAGTGCGAGAACAACACACCAAACCGTGTCTCGACCCTATAACATCTCCGAGAAACCCTCCTAGCCCCGACCGGCTTGAGCAGAGCTTTGCATTTGGGAATCGCGCTGAGGTTTCAGGCTGCCAGCTCCCCCTCCGAGCGATTTTCCCAGGAAATCGCAGACCCTGGGAATGCAGAAAGTCCTGGGATTTTGAAAAGTAACAGGCAACATAATCACTAAGTGACCTGGCTTTAAGCAAGCTACAAGGCTGTAAACCTACCCCAGCCACCAGCAGCGCAGAGCACGAGGATCCCGAGAACCACGCAGAGTTTTCCCATCTTCTTCTCCGAGCCCCGCGTGTGGGGGGCTGCGTGGACCAGCCCCGCCGTGAGCGATGGAAAGCAGCTCTGGGGCAGCCAGAGGTTTTGAGCAGTCCAGGAGATGAATCATGAGTCTGGGTGTATGACACACATGGCGAGCGGGGCCGGCCGGAGGAAACGGCGCTGGATAGTCACTCAGTTTTGAGTCAGGGAGTGCCCCCGCCCGCTCTGCCTGCAGCTCCTCATGCTTTTTTCCGCTCTCTCAGCTCAGACAAGGACCTAATAAACCCTGGCAGCAAGTACGCTGCACTGGTGACCTACAGCCCCGGGGCTGGTAACAGGCTCTTTCCCATAGGCTCTTTCGCCTGGGTTTAATTCCTTGCAAAATCTTGCTCACTCCCTCCTTTTATTAACTCTTGCATGAAAGGCAGCCTGGGTTTTGAACCCAGTCTGAGCAGCCTCTGAGTTCAAGGATTGTAGGGGAAATAAATAGAGCAAATATATAGCGATATGAAAGTGTGGGTTCTCGGCTCCCTTCCCCAGAGCACTGGTGCAAATGGGAATATCTCTGCTGAAACAGAGCTGGGAGCTGGGAGACCCAGCCAAGAACTGGACCTGCTGAAACCAGCAGTTTGGGTATAAACCTGGACATTGCAAAGGCAGGGAAGTTCAGCTTTGAGTCACATAATTTGGACCTGATTTTCTTCTCACTTGTATAGTTTTTCCCCTCTGTGTCCTCAGAAGTTGCTTCTATACTGAGCAAGTACAGGGAGTCGGATCTGCACAGGAATTGCCCCTGCTGAAATGCCTGAGCTGCTTGCTGGTGCCTCCCAAAGGGGTTCAACAAACCTCTTGCTCCCCTGCGATACCAAAGTCCTGCTCAGAGATGGGGAAACTGAGGCACTAAAAATATGGGCTGGGGGGCAAAACGGAGAGAAGGGCTCCTTCCCTGGAGCTGTGGGCTGCTCCCTCCTGGCAGGTGACAGGACTTGGGGACAGAAATGACACAGAGCGATCCAACGCACAGAAACACCAGGCAGTGGAAAAATGAACTCGTGTGAGTGCCGAGAGCGTCAGCCACAGCCTGGCAGTGCCGGAAGCTTTGGGGCAATGTGTAAGGTGCTGTACGAGACCCACGGCCCCCACCCTGGGGATAACCGCATCTGCCCCAGAGCCAGGCGGCTCCCAGTGAGAGGTGATGGTGTCTGCGAGGGTGAGATGGAGATGGGGAGTCTGCCTCAGGAGCTGGGGACTTTTCTTGGCTTTAAAAGAAGTTTTGATGCCTCTTTGCTTCCCCACTCGGCCCCTCCGTGCCCGCGGGGTGCTGCTGCCCTCCCACGGCTGCGTGGACTCTGCTCAGCGAGGGAGCATTTTCCTTCTGGGACCCAACTCCCTCCCCAAGAGTTGTTAAGGAGGATTTGGTAAAGGGGACTAAGAGAAGCCCACCGACCCTCATGCAGTGTCGAAAAGGGCTGCACCTTGGCTGCCACATCAATACAAACCACAAACCTGCTTCCTGCGGATCGCTAGGTCTCGTCCTGCTCCGGATCCTGAAGCCATTTCTCTCTGCAGACTCCATTAGCCAGTTTTAAGGCATCTAAATTCCTGTTTCTCCTGCACGGGACCTCCTCTCTCTGCCTGGAAATGCCACCTATGTGGCCATTCCCTGTTGTGCAGGGTTTTCTGGCCATGTGGCAGCCTGTCCCTGTACCACCCTGTAAGCACGTCTGATGCTTCATGGAAGGGACGACGAATTTGTCTAAGTTTGTATAGAGAGAAATGTGGGAGCCCTGCTTGGCTCTGCAAGCCCCACAGATCCGACACACTATCGATCTCGCAGGCCCGCTTTTCTGGGGGATTCACCCTGCCAAGCTGCTGGGTGCTCAGACTAGCAAGGGGTGCAGGCTCCAAAGGGACACACAGTCCTGCGTGTCCTGAAACCCCGTGCCCAGCATAAACTGGGATACTGCAGCCCTTGCTGGAAGCATGGTGCAAAAACTTTGAAGAAGAAGGAAAAAGTCACAAATTACGTATTTGACCTGCCTGCATCCACCTGAGCTCTCGTTCTCCCTGAGGACAACGATGCTATGAATTTAATTCAGCACATTCGGACTGAATTTCCCCGCCAACTGCGAGAAGGTTCTGCTTGTCCTGAAAACATCCCTGTGATGTTAAGTCCGGGCACCGTGTAATAGATAATCAGACAACTGACCGTATCGCTCTCTACAACTACCTGAAAGGAGGTTGTAGCGAGTTGGGGGTTGGTCTCTTCTCCTAGGTAACAGGCAATAGGACAAGGGGAAATGGCCTCAGGGGAGGTTTAGATCAGATATTAGGAAAAATTTCTTCACTGAAGGAGTTGTAAATCATTGGAACAGGCAGCCCAGGGAAGTGGTGGAGTCACCATCCCTGGAGGTATTTAAAAGACGCATAGTTGTGATGCTTAGGGACGTGGTTTAGTGGTGGAGTTGACAGTGCTAGGTTAACGGTTGGACTTGGTGATCTTGAAGGTTTCCTCCAACCTAAACAATTCTATGGTTCTGTGATTCTATAGTGGGATGCTCTGGGTATTGAAGTCGCTGCTCGGATGAAGGCGAGGAGCAGGCTGGGGTGTTTGAGAGCTGAGCGGGCCCAGGGCCCCGGCTGCCCCATCACTGCAGGCTGGGACTCAGGAGCGATGGGTGTCGCAGCCCCAATCCGTGCTTGGGCTTGGGGAGAGAGCAGAGCCTGGAGCTGGAGCCACCAGAGGGAGCAGAAACTCCTTCAGCCTGGAGCCAGCTGGAGCTCCTGGCCAGGAGCTCCCACCCGTGCTGGGGCACCGGCCACACACTGGTTTCCCGTGGGGATTTTTCCTGACCCTCAGGTTAAACACGAGCAGATGCTCTTCTTCGAGCAGGGCTTTCTGCCTCCCTCTGTCAAGCGCTTCTGCTGCAACCTGCCCTCGCAGACCGGGCAGCCCTTCAGAGAGAGAAACGCCACGTGCAAAACAAGGAGGAAAAAAAGCAACAAGTAAAACCCAAACCAACAGCTTTTGAGCCCCTAAATATCACAGCAGCAGAACAAGGACACAGGTCCCAGCCGCCGAAAAGGAAAATCAATTGACATTCCCTCTACCAAGCTGTGCTCCGTCCTCAGCCAGACAGCCTCACGCTCCTGCCTTTAGCTGCAATTTATCAATCCTCATTTAGGTTTATTAAAATCTCCTTTGGGGTCTGGGCAAAGAAAGCAAGCCAAGATGCATGCAGAAAAACCAGGACAAGGTCCCCACATCGTGGCTCGAGAGTGATCTGTTCTGTGTGATCCAGACACCTTTCCAGGCAAACACCAACGGGCAAAGCCGGGAAAGCTGGGACACGGCAGCTCCGTGGGCACAGCCCTGGGACGGGCAGGGACGGGACTAGCCATACACGGCTGGACACCCCGACTCGTGCTCTCATTTTGGGTGCTTACACAGCCACGGAGAGGGGCGCGGCGATGAAACGTCCCCTGGGATTCCCTCGGTGGGGCTTGAGGGGCCCAAGGGAGAGGGTCTGCGGCGCTCCAGCCCTGGGCGCAGCAGTGATGCTGCTGTAGGAGCCAGAGCTGGGGTCTCGGGCAGAGATCAGGGTGCAGCATCACAGTGCTCCTCTTCAAAGGGGCTTAAGGAGCAGGAGGGGGAGAAAAGGGAGACAAAGGTGTCCGGGGAGGAATCCCCCAGCCCGAGGAAGACAAGGATGCAGAGAGGGGGATGGATCCAGCTCGAATCTGGAAGCAGAGAACGGGCGTCACTGAGCAGAGCTGGGGGTGGACCGGGCTGGATGGGGCCAGCGCTCTGAGAAGGAGTGGGTGGCACAGAGCAGCAGCGGGGATCGGCGAGAGCAGCCTGACCTGAGGCTCACGGGAGCCTGCGTGGGGGGCACAGGGTCCGGCCAGCGGTCCCAGATGAACACGGACCCTGTGGGCTGGTGTCAGGAGCGGGTGCAGGGGCTGGGAGGAAGGGTGGGCTAGGTGCCGCTCCGCAGGGCCTCAGGGGTCAGCCCCCACCCGGGGGTGGCACAGGGCTGGGCTCGGGCACCAGTGGCAGGGCAAGGGGGGGGTGCACACGCGTGGGGAAGGGGTGGGCAGCCTGGGGGCCCCCAGCCGGCAGGAATCAGCTCGGCTGCGGGAGAGCCCCCGGGGAAGGGGCTGCGCCTGGGGGCAGCGGCGAGGGCAGGAGGCATGGGGCCATCCTCGGCTGCCTTCCTCTCCCCCGTGCCCCCTTCGCCTTTTTTCTCTCTCTCTTATTGCTCGTTTGGGGGCTTGTGCTAACGCTGCCTGTGCCAGGAGGGACCCGGCAGCGAGCCATCCCTCGGCTGCACAAATTGGCTTCCCACCTGCTCGCAGCCTCGAGGAAGTTTCCCCTCCATCCGAGGTGTTGTGAGAAGAAGAAAGGCAGGAGGTGGCTCGGAGCCCGGAGCCCTGGCCTGTGAGGGGTGGGCAGGGGGACAGCAAGCTTTCCTCTTGCCTTCCCGGAGATTTGGGATCACGCGCACGCCATGAATGGATCATTTTTCAACCAGACTCTGCTAGAGCAGGGAGCTTACCCCAACAGGACCCAGGGACTGGGGATGCTCATGGCCTGCTGCAATGGGACCGGCTCGGTGCTGGCGACCGACGGCGGCTCCTCGGTCCTGGCACCGGACGAGAGGAGCCTTTACATCACGCGAGTGGTGCAGATCGCTGTCCTCTGTGTCCTCTCCTTGACTGTGATGTTCGGCATCTTCTTTTTGGGCTGCAATTTGCTCATCAAGTCGGAGAGCATGATTAACTTTCTGGTGAAGGACCGAAGACCTTCCAAGGATGTGGGAGCTGCAATCATGGGACTTTACTGAAGCCACCGGGCTTTTGTAGGCAAGTGAACTGTCTGGACCTGGTGCTGAGATGCACATTCCCATGTGTTTGGGGCAGCTGGGGGGGAGTGGAAAGGGGGTGAGGTGTCTTTTAATATGTCTATGTCTATGGAAAGCAAATCTGCGCTTCCCAGTCATCAAACTGTCGTGGTGAATGGGGAAATCTCCCCAGAGTTGTATGAAGCACAATAAATGACCAGCATCGTGTTGCATGCAGAAATGGCTTAAGTTTTGCATGAAACTTGCAGAAACAGTGATAATGTGCAGATCTGGACTTTTCTGCTGTTACCTTGGATACCGCTACCTGGGATTTGGGGCTAAAAAAAAAAAAAAGGCAAAAAAAAAAGTGAATAACTCATTACAAAAAGAAAACAACAAACCAAACTAAGGTAAAGCAAATGCATGGCACAGACCACATCTTTGACCATGGGGCAGGGGAAGGGAAGTGCCATGTGGGTCGTACAACGAAGTCTGCATGCTACAAAATGTATCAGTCTGTTTGTATTTTGGACCTCAAGTGTGCATCTTCTCGTAGAGTTTTGTAACGGGGAAAGCATGTTCTTCCTTGTTTTTCTGAGCTATCCTGTTAAGTAAACTGGTACTTTCTTCTTTCACACTATGCTGAAGGAAGAAAAGAACCCAGATAAATACAAAAAAACCACTCCAACCCCAAAACAAAAGCATGCTTGTTTTTGTACACAGCAGCCTTTTTTTCAAGTGCTATATTGTTACAGTCCTTGAGGTTTTTGTAGTTTTTTGAAAACTGGTGAACAGTCAGGAAAAAAAGAAGCTGTTTCAAAAGAATTTGGTGTTGTCTTCATTTTCTTTCTCTGTGTGTGTGGAGTTGAGGTATTTCAATCCTAGTTCCAGATATGATCATCTCACCTTCCAACTGAACTCTAATTAGAGATATTTATCTAAAGCAGAAACTACCATACATTTTTCACAGGCAAGTATCAGTTACCACTAGCAAATAAATTCGTCAGAAACTATGTATTTCAGGCTTGTGTTAAATACCTGCACAGTACTGAAGCAGAGATTGATAAAGATGCACTGAGTGCCTCTTGCAAAGCAAGATTTCAGCCTCCACGTTAAAATCTCCAGCTCCTCTGATCCTGATGAGCTGTCAAAATTAAATTATGTGAGAGGAGGAGGACTCCTGACCTTTGTTCTGTGATGGAATTATAGCTCTGTCTGTGGGTGTGAGATGGAAATAATTTGAGTTTTGTTGCGCCAACAATATTCCTGC